GATGGTTTTCTTAGGACCACTCTACTGACAATTTTAAATAAAATGTGTCAGTACATTTGTTTCAATATTTGGACATTTAGTGTCTCCGAAGAAGTTTTTTTTGCTTAAAAAATCCCTTCTTATAGTATTTGCAAACGTCAAGGTGGTCCCCAAATAATGGTATTTTTAGAACTAACTTTTTTTGTTTTACAAAATAAAAACATGTGTTGTTTGAAAAAGTTGTGGTTTTGTTGAATAGATTTTTAGCACTAACTTTTATTATTTCAAATTTCTCATGAAAGTCATACTGTAGAGACATTTAAAACTCTTTAGGAAGAATCTCATCTAATAAAAAAGATAAAACTAAATATATAAAAAATATGAATAAATTCAAATTAATTTTGTACGAGTTTAAAAAATAACATATCTTCAATTTTTTTCATATTATGTATTGAGAATAACATATGGCCTGTCAAATGAAGTAATATTTTTTTTTGCCCCAACCAAAGATATTCACATTTGAAAAGGGCACATTTTTAGTAGAAAAACGTCAATAAGTTCGGTGAAAGATATAGACAAGCTTTGTGCTGCAAAAATTTGCGCCTTCTAAAGATCTAAAAGTTATTTGGAGACACCTTTGCTAAAAAAATTAAAATAAGAAAACTAGAGCAAAACAACTGTTCTTTTATAGAGACACCCTAACTCAATTCAAGAAAATAGCTCTAAATCGGTCAATCTCTTAATACACAAAAAGTTTTCTTTTCTACAAAGCTGCTTGAAATTAGCTCAGCTATAACTTTGCCGAAGAATGTATATCTTAATTTATTCAAACAAAAAAGTAAGATTTTTGATTTTAATGATAATAAAGACCAACCTAGAATTCATTGTCATAAAAATGAGAGCCTAATTATAAGGAACAACTTTGTACAAGAGACTTTAGTCTAAATGTTTCAATTTCAGGCTCAAAACATATCATTCCACTTAAATCTGCGTTCTGGACCACTGTGCATTGAAACATATCCAAAAAGTTTCATAGACATTGAATATTATGTAGGCTCTCAAAATCGTCTAGGAGCTACATGAATTTCTTCTAGCATTTCCATGAAAAAAAAAAACTACTGAAATACTATATTTGTTCCTTATCGAAATATTTAGGACCAGTATTTTTTATTTCACCTTTAGGCTTACTTTTATAAAATAGTGTATAAATAGGCTGTTTTTTTTATATTTTGTGGTTTTAAATTTTTCATCTCGAGGAATAATAATAAATACATAATAGGTGTATTTTAAGTTTGTTCTGCCACGTTGCGTCGTCTTGCCACTTGGCGGTCACCGAAGTGCCTTATGGTGCTCGTTAAATTTCAAAACCCGAATGCAATTTTATAAAAAAAAAAATAGTGCTAAGTAACTTGGGATCTTCAAAAGAAATTTAATTGAATACCAACCGCCATCACGTGACTCGTGTACAACAAGCATGAGAAGAAGAAAGTGAACATCCCTGAAACTCGAGTCAACAGCAACACTTAAACGTACAGCCCACCCCATCCAAACGGGAGTAGCTACACATCGGTGGGAAAGCATCGTTATTGGGTGGTGCGCTTTCCTTAGCTTTGTTGACAGGTTAAAAATGATTGCTTCGTTATCCTTTACCGTAATGAGGTTGTAAGCCCTTCGCCGCTGCCAGCCATTTTCGCGAACGATAGCGAGTGGTTGGAATGCACGGGAAGTCCGTGACATTTCTTTTTCCATTGTATCAAAAATCTGTGGTAGAGCAGATTCTGAAGCAGTCCTTTTGCTGAGTGGAACAGGAAAATCCAATAACGAACTAGTAACATAGAAGGAGTGAGAGATCGTACCAACTTGACAATAGAAAGACGTTTTGTAAAGGCAAATTAAAGTAACGCAGTAGTGAAGCTGTACATTTTACGACGTTGTCGTTACTATCATCTGTGAATAGACTGTCATTTTGTAAAAACGAGCTTTGAAGAATTTCGCAAAAGTTTACATTGAGCTTCGTCGGAAACTGTACACTGAACAACAGACAACGACCGAATACTGGCAAATCGTCACTAACCATTCAATAGTTACGTTATCGTCACTCAAGCGCCTGTGCTTTTATCTTGAATTGTTCAACGCTGCTGCCCTGAAAGCTACACACATTGTTTGGCAGCATGCAACAGCCAGCGCCGCAACAACGGAGAATGTACCTTCTACTGGCCGTGCAGCTAAAACCAACTGACCATTATTTGCTATCAGCTCTTAACTTATGTGAATAACTGCTTTTGAACGCTCGCTCGCCTTTCGCCTGGAAATGTTAATAAATATAATGTAAAAGAGCAGCACACGAATCTCGACAGCACCAAAGGGCTACAGGGGAACCCCGACGAGGGTCGGTAGCAGTAATAGGAATCGGTTGAAGGGAACCATTCATTTTTATCCTTGAACACTGTATGCCGGACCCGGTCGGTAAATTTGACATTTTTACGAGCCTTATCCTGTGGTATATTAGATCATAAAGGGGGCAAAGAAATACGATCTTCAAATAATGTAGCGTCGTAAGAGAAAATCGTTGGATATTGACGTGCGATGTGAATGTTCACTTTGTCGGGTGGTGCAAAATTGCAATTCGAATAAATCACCGTGCGTCTCCTTGGAAGGGATAAAAAGCAACAGTCCAAAGTAGGTCACTCGGTGTGAAACATAAAAAGCGGAGTCGTATCGAGCGCACTGAATAAGGTCGTCCCGAGGGTCGTAAGATTTCCAACTTAGGAGATCTAATGCATGGAGATATTCGTATAACAAGTAGAAGCTCGGGTGAAACAAAAAAAAAATCTCTGGCAGCAAGTGCGAGATCGGGCTTCATAAACGTCTAAGTGGATTAAAATTTATTTTTAATTCTCTGTGATATCCCGCTGGGAGGGATTCGTGGCGGATGCTACGGAAAACTGCTGCTACAGTTAATTTGGCTTTTAAAGTTGGTGCTATTGCGGGGAAACTGACGACGAGCAGAGTGCGCATTTGGAGCCACCGGGGAGTGGAAGCTTGATGAAGGTTGATTTTCTTTGACCATGTGTTCGCAACTGCTTGTTTGGGAAAATTGGGAGAAGCACTGCTGCCAAGGATAGGCTTTAATCTGATGGAGAAAACTTTATTAAATTAAAGCGCCCATAATGTATAGAAGAAAAATGAGATCAGTTGTCTAGACCATTTTATGGTGTTCGAAATTTGAACCTGTAAGATATTGCATTAATCAAATTACGAGCACCAAGCTGAAAATTAACTCGACATTTTTTAAAAACGATATATCTCGGAGCCAACTCATCCGTTTTCTATACTGTTGGAATTGTTGCTGGCTACTTATAAAAAGCGGTATAACCCGAGGAGGAACCGATTGCTAATCGGTAACAAATTAATATCTTAATTTGGTATGATACCAGATTTTGGTATGCTTGTGGTATAAAACCTTGTTTTGATATTATTCAGTTATCGAAATATTTTGTAAAATATCAAATGAATACCAAAATAACAAAATGTGATCGTTCAGTTTTAAGACTAACACCTAAAAGAGTTATTGAATAGGTATTATTTCAAAGTGGCCTGGAGTCAAATTGACCCCAAGGTACAGACAAAGGGTTAGGGCACAGACAAACAGACATAACTCATTGAATATTTCTCAGTGTAAAACATCGTCGCTAAAACATAACCGCCATCTGTTGACTACACTTTGGTGGGCAATACGACGAACAGATGGCGGTAGTAGGTAAACCGTCAAACGCAATTGAATTGACTATGCGCGCCACAAGTGGCGGTGCTCCGAACTACAATACTTTTAAATTTACCGTTAAATGCTTGTTCGATGAACAACTTGCGAATGCTATGTGTGTTTATCTGTGGGTAAGGTATACTTTGGTGCAGGGTTTCGTAGAATATAATAAAACATTTGCTAAAAGGGAGCTGACAAAATCAAATTGTATGCGAGTAGCACTAAGCTTGAAATTCAAAGAAGAATATGAAGAAGAAGAAGAAGAAGAAGAGCTGGTATATTTCTCTCTCTCTCTCTCTTTCTCTTACCATTCCATTGTGAATCCATGATTTCCACACAAGCAAAACGAATGATGACCAGTTGAGCACTTAGTCCCAGTCATTACGGTCGATTAACTTTTCTCGTCTCGTCGTTTTGAGGCCAGCATGTCGAACTCAATCGAATGTATGTTAATAATTGGCCACTACCAAACAGAGATCCAATCAGAGTTTTGCAACACATTTAGTAATCACCCGAAATTCGCCGGGGGCTTCCGAAAATCTACTTAATTGGACAAATTACCTTCAGTGAATCGACGTCTAATATCCTGACCATTTGTAGCAGCACTTGACCTGACAGAATCCCTTCGAATCTGAATCTTGTACACGAATCAAACCCTCCAAAAAAAGCTCTAGTTCTCTACCACTTCGCTGTCAGAATGGTTCACTTCTAGAGGCGCTCCAACAGATCATCGTATTACTTCCGCTCCAGTTGCCTTTTCCGCTTCAACCATTTTGCTATCCGCTACCGGAGTAATTCAAGCGAAATCGTAAGGAGTGCTCTCCCCGGTGGAGCCAACGGCTCTCTATCATGTTTTTTTCTCTCTGTATATAATAAAGACGGTGCATTAAGGCTGCGTTCCATTTGGGAAATTTTCACTTAAATTTTACACTACGAAAATTATTTTAAATGTTCGAAAATCCCACTGTTACTTATTGGCCAATTTTCGAGAAGGTGATTGACAAAATTTAATGTCGGAAATTTAAGTGAAAATTCACTCAGCATTTCAAATGATTATAAATTTTATTTTTTATGTTTGAATATTTTCTTCAGCCCTCTTCGTATTCCTATAAATAGCAGTAAATAACTAGCGTGAAGGTAATTTTAAACGCAACGCTCAGCTGTTAAAGTTATCGTATAACCGAACCAATGCAACCATATAAACATATAAATAACTCATTCAAGCCCGAACATTAATGATGAACATTTTTCAAATTAGCCAAATCTATAATTGGACTTTCAGATACAGGTAGAGTTAGAGTTGCTTCCGGCATAGCCGATCGTTTTTATGTTAGTGTTTGTTCTTTTGGTGTTGCTAAATTTTCCTCTCAAAAGCAATGTCAATTTTGTAGATAAGTTCTTTCACTCTAGTTACCGGTAGAGAGTAATGTACAGCCACGGTACGATTAGGCAGCATTCCTAACTTACTTGCTGCAAATTGAATAGTTCCTGTAATGAATGGCAAAACGCTAGAGATCGTTGGCGAAGTAGATTTTGGAAGGTTTTTCAATGACAGCAATCGTAGGTACACATCACATGCTTCGCACTAGCTACTAAATCATGCATAGTAAAAAATAGTTGGCATCAACTGCTAAACCAAATAATCAATCACTCAAACACGAAATGAAAAATCCCGCTCACAGCACTAAAAAGCCCACTTGGACAAGCTGCAAAAAATGCACTATCAAAATAAACTAATTTGTGTGTACAATAACACTGCTGACAGGCTTTGACAATTCGACAGTTGATTGCACATGAGTAGTATAATCCAATCGTTTTGCAAATGCAAAAAAGAAATACACCCCATCTGTCAACATATTCAATCAACGATGGGGTTTCAGGGAAAATCCGTGAGGCTTCATTAAAATAACGTTCCCAACAGCAGGCATCCAGTTCTCGTAAATCTGCACTTTTCAAACCCTTCCACAGCATTGATGCGGCAAAACGAACAAGGACACGGAAAAAGCACAAATGCACGTCAAGTGCAGGGGGTGCTGCACTATCAATTGGTTCACACTCGTGTGCTGATGAGATGTGAGTCGATGTTATTCATTCATGGGATGCATAAAAATATGAGCAATCAGCATTGTTACAGCGAGCATTTGTATGGCAGTTGAGCGAGAGAAGAAGAAAAAAAAATACCGATTCGAAACGATTAAAGCACGACAAACATGATCATTATCGGCAGTAATTGGCTGTTGATGGGGATTTTGAGACCTGGGATGCGGATGCAAGTGCGAGTGGAATCATTATGTAGGATGTTTGTAAAGGCTATCGACAACTGTAGCTGGATTTAATGTTTTTTTCAGGATCTTAGGGTGGATCCTTCATAAATAAATTTGATGTTTGTCCTTTATATATAAGACGAATTAAAATAACGTGGAATAACTTGTTCAGACTATAACATGTTACAAGGGTGTTATAATGATTATAAATATGAAAAACTTGATGACGTTTAAAGATTGTACTCGAAAAAAATGCAACACTTTCTTTTGTGTATAACTTTTTATTGCATGGGTAAAAATTGATGAAGTTTTGAGTAAAACTAGTTTAGAGTGTAATGTTTAAATCTCGTCACAATCTGTCAAGTGGTTATTGAGATAGCTTCAAAGCAAGAAGTGCTTCGACAAACAATTATGGGAGCTGTCGTGGAAAATCCAGACCAGTCCTACAGGTGGATCGCGAAACAGTTTGGAATCGACAATTCAACCATGTCCCGTGGGGTAAAATCGTTCAAGGAGACCCAAACGACCCAGCGGCGAGCTGGCAGCAGAAGAAAACCGAAGAAGACCGACCCCGTGAACGCAAGGAAGCTAACATAACATAGCTAACATATGTTTATTTATTCCCTGAGAGTTTCAAAAATATCCGAATTTAAATAAATTTTGGTGATCTTTATAACATGGTATAACTCTATGGTCTGAACATAGCATAAGTTTGAGGAAAGTACGTTAAAATTAATTCCAGATGAATCTACAAATGGCCGTCATGATGACCGACTAACTGTATCTTACTTAACATTGTATAGAGCAATCATCTCGGGCACTACAGCAAACATGGGGCAAAAGTTTCTGTGTAGTATTTTTGGCCAGAGCTTGAAGTTTGGAAGTGATAATGAGATCCAACGGAAAATAGGTTTCAATAGCGATCCACATTAAATCCACGCATTTGAAGTTTGGAAGTGATAATAAGATCCATTCCTTAAATTTACTCATCTGCTGTATAATATTTCAAAACTGTCAACAGTTGTGAAAGAAAGGATTATTCTAACAAGAGCTGAAGAACCATTAACATTTACGATACCAACATGATTACAATATAAAATTACTCCAGTTCAGCCAACAAACATCTCTGCCACTTCAGAGAAGTTCCTAGAGATGATCAGGAAAGTTCCAGGGAACTTCATTGTCCCTCCAAGGAAATTTCCAACGGAAGCATAATGCAAAGGGAATTTTAACAAAATTGTATGTAAATTTTAAAGCTGTTTAAATACAGCTTTGTTCTGAGGGAACTTCAGAAAGTTTCCCAGGAACATCCTTAAATTTCTCTTGAAACCATGGTTGTTTCCCCTCACTTCGCTACAAACATTTTTAATGGTACGCTGGAGTCGCTTTTCACGCGGGGGAAAAAACGCGTGAAGAAAACCGCATAAATTCCGAAATCCGCGTAAATTTCAAATCCACGTAAAAAAAAAAACGCGTAAAAAATGTGTAAAAACCGCGTAAAAAGTGACTCCAGTGTATTTTGCTCTTGTATATTACAAGAAGAAGTTGAGAAATATAGGTTGGATACATAAAACCTGTCAATTTAGCTATTTGAAAGTCACAATCAATGATTTTATGATTCATATGCGTTCATTCAGAGTGAGCGCTCATGAAACATAAAATCGCTGATTGTGATACTCTGAAAGTGAATTTGACAGGTTTTATGAGTCGAACACATACTTGTTAACCTCTTTTTGTAACTTGTTTATAATATCCCATTTTGGAAAACAAATTCCACAGTTGAGTGAGTGGAAGCAACCCTGCCCTTAGAAAATTCTATGAAGTTCCTTCGAAACTTCTATGAAGTTCCTTCGAAACTTCTATGAAGTTCCTTCGAAACTTCTCTGAACTTTCTTCGAATCTTCTCTGAAGTTCCAACAATACTGAACTTCTTTCGAAACTTCTCTGAAATTCTGTCAAAATCTCTTTGAAGTTCCTTCGAAACTTTAAATTTTCCAGAAGATCTTTCGAAACTTCTCAGAACTTCTTTCGAAACATCTCTGTAGTTCCATCGAAACATCTCTGAAGTTCCTTTGAAACTTCTCAGAAGTTACTTCAAAACTTCTCAGGAGTTGCTTCTAAACTTCCCAGAAGCTCCCTCAAAACTTCTCTGAACTTCTTTTGAAACTTCTCTGAAGTTCCTTCGAAACATCTCAGAAGTTCCTTCGAAACTTTTTAGAAGTTTCTTAGAAACTTCCTTCGAAGGATCTCTAAAGTTGCTTCGAAACTTCCCAGAAGATTCCTTAAAACTTCTTTGAACTTCTTTCGAAACTTCTCTGAAGTTCCATCCAAACTTTTCTGAAGTTCTTTCGAAACTTCTCAGAAGTTACTTCGAAACTTTCCAGAAGCTCCCTCAAAACAAGGGTTGAGTGGAAGCAACCCTGCCCTTAGAAACTTCTATGAAGTTCCATCAATACTTCTCTGAAGTTCCTTCAAGGGAGACGTACCAGCCCAGGGCTGAAAGCCTCCTTAATAAAGATATAAAAAAAGATCCTTCAAAACTTCACATAAGTTCCTTTAAAACTTCTCTGAACTTATTTCGAAACTTCTCTGAAATTCCGTCAAAACCTCTCTGAAATTTCTTCGATACTTCTTAAAAGTTGCTTCGAAACTTCCCAACAGATCCCTCAAAACTTCTCTGAACTTATTTCGAAACTTCTCTGAAGTTCCATCGAAACTTTTCTGAAGTTCATTCGAAACTTCACAGAAGTTACTTCAAAACTTATCAGGAGTTGCTTTGAAACTTCCCAGAAGTTCCCTCAAAACTTCTCTGAACTTCTTTTGAAACTTCTCTGAACTCGAAAACTTCCTAGAAATTCCTGCAAAACTTCTCAGAAGTTGCTTCGAAAATTCACTGAAGTTCCTTAGTAACTTCCTTCGAAGGTTCTCCAAAGTTAATTCGAAACTTCTCTGAACTTTCTTCGAATCTTCTCTAAAGTTCCTTCAAAACATCCTAGAAGTTCCCACAAAACTTCTCTGTTTGTAGGTTCCCATTTCAAAAAATATTTTTATAGCGAAGTAGTTGGAAGCAACCCTGCCTTTTGAAACTACTCTGAAGTTCCTTAGAAACATCTCTGAACTTTCATTGAAACTTCTCTGAAGTTCCCTTGAAACTTCCCAGAAATTCCCTCGAAACTTCACAGGGGAGCCTCTTAACTTCTCAGAAGTTTCATCAAAACTTCATAGAAGTTCCCTCAAAACTTCTCTGAACTTCTTTTGAAACTTCTCTGAAGTTCCAAATAAACTTCTCTGAAGTTCCTTCGAAACATCTCAGAAGTTCCTTCAAAACATCTCAGAAGTTACTTCGAAACTTCTTAGAAGTTTCTTAGAAACTTCCTTCGAAGGATCTCTTAAGTTGCTTCGAAACTTCGAAGGATCTCTTAAGTTGTTTCTCAGAAGTTTCATCAAAACTTCATAGAAGTTCCCTCAAAACTTCTCTGAACTTCTTTTGAAACTTCTCTTAACTTTTTTTGAAACTTCTCTTAACTTTTTTTGAAACTTCTCTGAACTTCTTTTGAAACTTCTCTGAAATTCCATAGAAACTTCCCAGAAATTCCCTCGAAACTTCACAGAAGCTCCCTCTTAACTTCTCAGAAGTTTAATCAAAACTTCATAGAAGTTTCCTCGAAACTTCATAGAAGTTCCCTCGAAACTTCATAGAAGTTCCCTCGAAACTTCTCAGAAGTTCCCTCGAAACCTCTCAGAAGTTCTCAAGGCACTTCTTTCTTGAGAAGTTCTCAAGGCACTTCTTTGATGTTCCTTTGAAACTTCCCTGATGTTTCCTCAGATTTTTGCTGAAGTCAGGACTTCCCAGTAGTTTCTCCGTAACTTTCCTGAAGTTCCCTTGGAGTTTCTTGAAGATTTATTTTAACTACGCTAAAGTTTCCTTTGGACTTTCCAGAAGTTTCAGTGGAACTTACCTGAAGCTTCTTTAAAACATCCCAAATGTTCCCTACCTGAAGTTTTGTTAAAGGTCTTTCGGAAC